ACCCGCAGGTCTGTCATTGAATGGCCAGACAGATTAAAGTGTTCTCCCACTGGTTTTTGAGTATTATAATTCCTGATGTCAGATTTGTTTTTGCTCTTACTTAATTGGCCTCTCAGAGTTGGTAAGACAACTCCCACCTGTTCATGCTCTCTGTATGTGAGTATATATATCTCCGCAATATATGTTCCACTCTATATGCATCCAAAGAAGTGGGCTATAGCCCACGAAAGCTTATGCTCAAATAAATTTGTTAGTCTCTAAGGTGCCACAAGTACTCTTGTTCTTTTTGCGTATACAGACTAACACGGCTGCTACTCTGAAATCTGGCACCACTAGTATTTACTTCTCAGCTGCTACCTTATCCTATAGGCGCCTAATTTCGCTCTGCACCTCCTTTCTTTTGATGTAAACATTTCTTATGTGCTACATTTCTGCCTCTGGGCATGAGCACTACAGCCTCGCTTTAGGCATGTGGATAGCTAAGCCCAGAGAAATCCACAAACAAGGGGAAGATAGATGTTCCCCATGCCTTATTCAACTGTGGGGCCTGATCTGGCAGGTGTGTTCAGAGGCCACTTACCAGAATGGGCTGGCACGCAAAATCACATCATAACATGGCTGTGTAGGGGAGGAGGCAGATGTCCCCCATAATCTTTAGCCCAATGGTTAGTGTACTCACCTGGGATGTGGGACACCTCAATTCAATTCCCCGCTGATGAGGAGAAAGGATTTGAAGATGGGTACTCCACTTCCCAGGAGCATGGGACATTCTCCTGGGGTGGGGAAGGGGTTCGCTCTGTATTAAATAATTAAGGAGTCATTGGCATCCTTGTCTCCCATACGAGAGCCCTACCGACCAGGCTATAGAGTAATTTTCTCTCTGGGGCCCAGTGACTTGAATAATAAGCTTTTATCCACACAGCCTAACAGAATGGGTCATGGCTCATTTTAAGTAGCTCCAATAGCTGATTTTGAAGGATGATGGTAGTCTGTCTCTTTCTTCCTCCCTCCTTTTGTCACCATTTTGCTGACCGTTCCCCTTGTCTTGTTCCCCAGAGTGTGTCTGAAGCAGGTTATGAACAACCAAACCTCCATGCTGGAGTTCCTTCTCCTCGGATTCTCTGACATTTGGGAGCTGCAGATTCTACACTTCACAGTGTTTCTAGTGGTTTACCTGGCAGCCTTGATAGGGAACCTCCTTATCATCATAGTCGTAGCCTTTGACCGACAACTTCACACCCCCATGTACTTCTTCCTGGTCAACTTATCCTTCCTAGACCTGTGCTACATCTCTGTGACTGTCCCCAAATCCATGGCCAACTCTCTCATGGACAGCAGAACAATTTATTTCTCAGGGTGTGTCACCCAACTCTTCTTGGTTGTCACCTTTGCCATTACAGAGCTAGCATTACTCACGGTGATGGCATACGATCGCTATGTTGCAATTTGCCATCCCCTCCATTATGGGATGTTAATGAACAGGGGCAGGTGTGCCCAGATGGCAGCTGGGGCCTGGCTCAGCAGCATGGTGTGTGCCGTGATACACACCGGTAACACATTTAGGTTACGCTTCTGCCGCTCCAACATGGTTGGCCAGTTCTTCTGTAATATCCCACAGCTACTAAAGCTCTCCTGTGGGGATACACGTGTTAATGATATAGTAATGCTTGTTCTTGGTTCTGTTGCAGCTGTTTCCTGTTTTGTATTTATATTTGTGTCCTACATTAACATCTTCTTCACGGTGATGAGAATCCCCTCCAACCAGGGCAGGTACAAAGCCTTCTCCACCTGCCTGCCCCACTTGATTGTTTTCTGTTTGTTTCTTGGCACTTCAGCATTAACGTACATGGGACCCAGATCAAAGTCTTCAAAAGCTTTGGATCTGGTAGTGGCCGTTTTCTATTCTGTTGTGCCACCAACCATGAACCCAATAATCTACAGCCTGAGAAACAATGAGATAAGGGGTGCGCTCAGGAAAATGTTAATTGCTCACCAGCCTGGTCCAATATGCATAAGATGGATTTAACATTCAGAGAATTGTGTGTTGTCTTTCCTGACATCTACATTGTTATGGGTTTCAACATTTATATGTACAAGTTTTAATAAAAATAAAAGGAAAAAAATGACGACAAATAAACCATCTATAAAAGACAATTCTGGAGCTTATGGGTATCAGTAGACAATTGAAAGTTCATTAGCCTAGCTAATTAATATTACACCTGTAGTGGCCAAATTGATGTAGCTTAATAGGCTTCTGGAGCAATCCTGATTTACACTCGCTGAGATTCTATGCCATTGACAGAAATGGAGCTAGGCCAATTTACACCAACTGAGGGTCTGGCCACATTAAGTCCAGTGTAGCTATGGTTGATTCACATTAGCTGGGATGTGGCCCATTAAGTTCAATGGAGTTACATCAGTTTACACCATCTGATAATGTGGCCCCATTTACTTCAATTGAATTGCATCACTTGATGCCAGCTGGGGATCTAACTCTAGAACAGGGAATGGACCAACAGCTTGACTCCTAACCCAGTGGTAGTTGGACATGTTAGGAATTTGAACCTTGATGTGGATGGACATTTCTTACAAAGGATTTGAGCACTTTGGACTTTGTGGGAGATCCTGACCAAGGGGCTGGTCAACCGTCTTGCTGGAAGGAGGTGTGATTGTTGTCAGATGCTCCCGGTGTGGTGCTCTGCTTTGTTCAATGTTGATATCAATCGGCTGCGTGCGTGTGTTCCCTCTGTGTGCTGTCCCAGCTCTGCGCAGATAGCTGACACAGCAGACCCTGAGAGAACCCCCAATGACCACAGACTCTAGTAAGGTATGAAGGCACGTCGGCCAAGTTTATGGCCAAACGAAGCACAGTAAAAGTTCCCTCTAGACTTTACTATACAGGACATACTACGAATATGTGCCCCCTGGCAATGGACTCAGCTCAGTCAGTGGCGCGACTTTCCACTGCCCCCTTGGCTGGACAAAGACTCCACCCCAGGGATGCATTCTTATACATAAGTACAAAGAAGTTACACATCACTTCTGACGTATTGTGGTGCAACCCCTCTACGTAGTACATGTTGGTTTGAACAAAACAACTCTATCCATCATATTACCCTTTTGGCCCTCTCATTGGGATGGGTCAGCTTGTTCCTTGTTGTGTGTGGAATGTACAAGTATGCAAATGTTCTGATATCTGGTGTCCAGTACCTTATAGATATGTCTCTTTTTGCAGCATCAGCCCTTTCCTTGCCAGCTTCTGTGAGCAGGGCCTGCCTCTGGCTCACAGCCTAACTTTGCTTTATGTTAGCAAAGTCTTGACGATTACTTTAGTTCAGGCCTCAGGCCTCATACTGGGCCTCTGATAAGGGTTTATGTTTCAGGGTCTCATCTTACTACAGTGATAAGTCTCTGACCTTGAGCCAATACTGTCATTTTGTTAAGCCTTAATCACTATTTCACTTGTATCTGCTTGTAACCCTTTCTGACTCTATCGCTTACACTTGAACTCATCTAAAACCTCTCTCTCTTTTTGATTAAATAAACTTGATTTACTTTTATTCTAAACCAACCCAGTGCTGGGTTTGACTTGAAGTGACTATCAACTCCAGTTAAATCAACAAGCTGCTGTGGTTTTGTCTCTTTAAAGGAGCAACGAAACTGATTACTCCTCCAAATGCTCCACGAGAGGGCTGGGTGGTTCAGGGCAGACCATTTTGTGGAAATTCAGCACTGGGTAGTGCGTTGGGGTCACTTGGGGTAACCAAGGGCTGTGGTATAACAGGCAAGCTGCTGGAGTCAGAGTTGCTGAACCAAGACTGCTCAATACACAGACACTTATAAGACCTGGTAAAATTATCACAAATGCTCTGAAACGAATGGGCCAGGTTCACCACAGTGTTACTACACTTTCAGGCAATATTTAATCATTTGGATTTAAACTGAGTCATAAAGGAGCCACTAAGAGCCAGATCAGAGGTGCAAACAGAATTCATTTCATAGCAGGACCCCAAACCAATTTCCCCTCTCAACTTGTAAATGACGCCAGCTACCATTGATCTTTTTTTAATCTCAAAAGAAGGGTGATGGGTTTATCCACCTTTTCGATTTCAGAATTTCTTTACAGATTTCTGCAGAATGTCAGTGAATATAGCTGTGGGAGGGAGGAGTTGGGTCTGTTTCATTCAATATACCATCAGGACAAATGTTAGTTAAGTTTTTATTGTAGGGGAAAACTCTGGGTTATTAATGGTGCAAATAATGGTAGAGCAGAAGGACAACATGGAAGCAAATGTTTGTTTCAGGTCAGGTGAAATTCACTGGGCCAGGCTCACAACTAGTGTAAATTGATGTTGCTCCATGGACTTTGATGGTGCTATGCCAGCTAACATCAACTGAATCGTTAGCCTAGTAGACCTGAACTGGTATCAGTGAAGGTAGAATGGCAAATGGCAGCAGAGTCTGAACGCAGCAGGAATGCACAAGAGTAAGCGAGGGCAGAAATAGGGCATGACATTAAATATTTGTCCAGAGTTGTGCTGAAGACGCTCACGTCAGAATAGCATCCAGAGACTGTGCTGGGCTCTGCAGGACTCAGGGGGGTGAAAACTAGTTAGAATCTGGTTTTGTTAAAATTTTAAGAAGCCATTTCCCTTTTTCTTCCCTCTGCAGAGGGCACCACAGGGACCGATTTTTGTTTTTGTTGGTGGGTTCTCCTCTCTGCTGCCTCCCCCCGTGGGAGTGGCAGATGGGCCTTTGGGGTACAGTGGCGGATGAACCTCAGGGGGGAAGAGGCCGAGTGGAGGAGGAGCCACAATCTGGGCACCGGGGCCCACAAAAGATTAATCCAGTCCTGCAGGAGCTGAGCAGCCCCTATTATTTTTTTCTGGGTGCTTGGGCACCGGAGCACCCATGGAGTGCTCCTATGAAGGGCAGGACATGTCCAACCAAATTACTGTGACTGAGTTCCTTCTCCTGGGATGCTCTGACAGTCAGTAGCTGCAGATTCTACCCTTCGTAAGGCGAGTGGCATTGCCCACTCCTGGAATAGTATGTTATTGCTAACTCCTTGGATCTTATTGTGTGTGAGTCTTGTGATATTTGGTGTTTTTTCTTGTTAGGATATAGATATTCCCTGGTGGGGAATCTAGTCATCATCACAGTCATAATCTTTGACTGCCACCTTCAAGCCTCCATGTTTTTTTTCTAGTCATCTTGTCCTTTCTAAACCTCTGCTGTCCCTGTCCCCAAATCCCTGGCTAACTCCATAACCAATACCAGACTCATTCCTGGATGCGTTGTTCAAGTCTTTCTGGTTCCCACCTTGGCAGCTACAGAGCTGGGCTTTCTCACAGTGATGGCATCTGACCATTATGTTGCAATCTACCAACCTCCTCATTACAGGGTGATCATGCACAAGGGTTCATGTGCCCAGAGTTCATGGCTGGTGGCTCAGCAATATTATCTATTCATTGTTACACACCAGGCCTTTACATTGTTCTTCTGCAGATCCAATATTAATGACCAGTTCTTTTGCAATATCCCCCCAGCTGCTAAAGATCTCTTGCGCAGATATAGATGCTAAAGATATTTTGATGATTGCCCGAGCAGCAATTATATGCATGAGCCACTTTGCTTTAATAGTTTTTTCCTACAGTCACATCCTCTCCTCTGTGCTGAGAATCCCTTCTAGACAGGGTAGGCGAAAAGTCTTCTCCACTCCGTGCCCCACCTCATTGTGTTCAGTTTGTTCTTGGCACCACTACATTTACATACACACAACCAAGGTCTGCTTCTTCCTTGCATCAGGACCTGCTGGCTGCAGTTCTCTGTTCTGTGGAACCACCAATAATTAACCCCATCACTTACAGCCTGAGAAACAAGGAGCTAAAGGAGGCTCTGGGCAAACTATTTGGGAGGACATTTTTACCAAAATAATTGAATTCCTCACTATGATATTCTAGTATAGTTGGATTGGACTCTATTTGAATGATCCCACATGGAATAAAACTGTTCTCATGTTGGAATGACTTTGAGTTCTCCAACCTCTCATTCCGATGATGGGCCTAGTCTCCCTCTCATTTCACTCAAGGTATTTCAACTGTGTTACTCCTGATTTACACTTCAGTGCCATTACTCCTGGTTTGTGCCTAGGTGAGTGAGAGGGGAGTTAGGATCTGCATTTATTTTTTCTGGACAGTGCCCCTTTTAGGTATGAGAAGAACTATTTGAAACATTTTTAATTTCAAGATTTTTAAATGAGAACGGGACAATTATTTTGATGAATATTTTCATTTAAAATATTACCCCTTTTTTGACCAGGTTATGGGTCTTCTAATTCAGAGAAGAGACGCTGAATGTATCAAATTATTATTTTATCTGAGAATATTTCCAAATCACCCTTTTGGACACAGTGATTAAAATAACTAACATCAGTTACAATGCCATTGATTGCAAGTTAATGGTGAAATTCACCCATGTGCAGAGGTAAAACACAAGGCATAAATATCACTTTAGTACCACTTCAACTTTAATTTCATGATTTGCATGTGAAAGTGCTGAAATGGTGCCTTGACCTTGGACATTTCAACAGTGAATTCCACCGGAGGAGGTGTTTGCTCATACATAGAAGTGTGTTACATTAGGGTGACAGTGGTGAAACATTGGTATAAGGCGAGTGGCATTGCCCACTCCTGGAATAGTAGGTTATTGCTAACTCCTTAGATCTTATTGTGTGTGAGTCTTGTGATATTTGGTGTTTTTTCTTGTTAGGATATAGATATTCAGGCCTGTCTGTAAAGGCCTATCCTTTAAGAATTTAGGGATATGTTTATCATTTAGCTAGTTATAGAGGTATAAAAGAAAGAATCTGTGTAAGGGTCTTCTCTCACTGTGACAGTCTGAGGCCTTGTTCTTAGGCTAATGTCTTTGGCTAAGCAGCAGAGGGGCTGTGTTACCTGTACCCTGCAACCTCAAAATGTGTACCATAAACTGGGCAGCGTACGGTCACATCCTTACATTCCAAAC